TTTTTTTTGTTTAAATGCCTAGGTGCCGAATCAACCGAAGAATTAGGAACATTGAGAGTGTGTAAGTAGTTCTTACTCGGGGGATGTTTGTTGTATGAATATGTATGAATTGTTTGGTGCTTTCGGTGTGTTTATTATTTATTAATATGTAAGTTGATTGTGTCTTAGTGAATATTGGCTAATGATTTAACTAGTTGAATGAAATCATGTTGGTTCTGGTTGTTTATAATTGATTTGCTTTGCATTGTTGGATTTGATGCTTAGTGGGATTTCTGAAAGCATTATGGATTATGAATGGTTTTATCGTTGTATGGTTGTGTTCATAAAAGCATAATGAAATAATATGAGAGAAATCTGTTGTGTTGCGCATGCATGTAGACATGTGATCTCATTTTTAGCTTACTGTTTTTTGTTCTGGAAGCATGCTGGTTTTATTGTGAGTTGAGTGCTGCATGGGTTATGACCTAGAAAGTATGTAGTAGGACTCTGGTGAGAGTTTCGGGATGTAATACAGTAAATGGAGAACTAACAGGGCCAAAAAAGCTGGCACGTCACAAGTTGGGTATCGAGGCTCCAGGTGCAAGTCGAGGATCGATACCCCAACTTGGTAGAGATGAGTGTCGAGGCTTCAGGTACAAAGGGTCGGGGGTCGGCACAGTGATTCTATTTTGTTGAATTAGTATTGGGTCTTAACRTGGTGGCGGTCAAGGACCAATACGTTGAGTAGTCGTCGATACCTTGGGGATAAATGTCAAGGGTCGATGCACAGTTTGAAGCCTTGGGGATAAATGGCAAGGTCGAACGCCAAGCCTCTGTAGATGAGTGTCGGGCCTTGGGGATAAATGGCAAGGGCCGATACGATTCGAGGAGTTAGACTTGGAGGACTAATATAATGTGATGCACAGTTTGAAGCCTTGGGGATAAATGGCAAGGGCCGATACTACTTGAGGAGTTAGACTTGGAGGACTAACATAGTGTGATAGGTTAGGAGTTGCTTGGAGGCTACGGACCATTACGTTTGGTAGTAGTTGAGGCCTTGGGGATAAATGTCAAGGTCCAACGTCGAGTACCGTGGAGAAGTGTGGATGTCTTGGCTATGCGAGGTCAGGGGTAGATTCGACTTGAAGGAGTAAGTCTTGGAGAAACTAGGAAAGAGAATTAGTGAGTTTAGATGTAAGGATGAGTTTGACATGCATGGTGCATGTTTAGTTAAACTTATGCATAAACTGCTTCTTTTAATATGTTTCTTTTTACTTAAAGCTTGAAGTTATTGATAAGCATGATGTGTGGATTCTTTGCATAGCATGYTGTTTGTGCGTGACCCTTCAAATATGTAATGCTTACTGGGTACCGTGGGTGTACTCACCCCTTATTTTTCTCACTAGACTTTATAGGTAACAGGGTTACTCTTTGGAATGGTGGTGGCGAGGAGGAGGCTTGATTGGAAAGACCATTAGCTGTGCTGCGTGTATTTAATTCTTTTAGTTAGGATAGTTGCAGTTATTTCATCTTGTAGTTGAGTTGTTAGTGGTTGGTTTTGTTTAGTTTTATGGTTTAAAGGATGTTTTAAGGTGGTCAATTCATTATTTTTTTTAGAACATTAATTTTGTTAGCTTCTTGAACTCYAGGACTGTAATCTTCTTTGGATACTTATGAATACATTTGTTTAAGTTGATCGAACTTGAGTTAGCTTTTGCTTCGTTGCCATTCGAGATGTTAATTTTSATTTAGTGGATGGTTTATGATTAGTAAAGGTTTCCTTAAGGAGTTTGGATAATGTGAAGTTGGTAATTAAATGGATTATCTGTAAAGGATTTGAGTTTCTCTTAAATCTTTAGTGTTGTTGTTTTGATTGTTCAAGCTCTCGTGAGTATTGAATCAGAGTAGCACAGAAGAAGCATAGTAGTTTTATTGTTTAGTCTTGTTGTGAAGATAATTTTCTTGTTTAAGTGAAAATTTTAGGTAGTCTTAGTAACGGTCCCCGTTTGGAAATGTTGAGAATTCTGGGGCGTTACAGCTGCAAACACTTCTGCTAACGCTCCTTCAATGATGGGATCGACCATTGTCAAATCTCATGCTGAAAAACCAGAGAAGTTCATGGGAGAAAACTTCAAAAGATGGCAACAGAAGATGATCTTCTACCTCACCACCTTGAATCTTGCTCACATCTTAAAGGAGGTATGCCCAACTACTCCGCTAGAAGCAATCACTCTTGAAACTGAAGTGCCAAGCAAGCATGGTTGCATTCAGACTTTCTATGTCGCAACTACATTCTGAGTTGCCTAGATGACACCTTGTATAATGTCTACTGCAATGCCTTTAATACTTCAAGGCAATTGTGGGAGGCATTAGACAAGAAGTATAAGTTGGAAGATGCTGGTACTAAGAAATTCCTTGTTGGAAAGTTCTTAGATTACAAAATGGTTGATACCAAGTTGGTAGTCAATCAGTTAGAAGAATTGCAAATTATCATTAGTGATTTGCAAAGTGAAGGATTGATCATTAATGAACCATTYCAAGTTGCTGCTGTGATTGAGAAATTGCCTCYTGCTTGGAGAGAATTCAAATGTTATCTCAAACACAAGCGAAAGGAGTTGTCCATGAAGAATCTTACTATGAAACTCCGCATTGAAGAGGACAACAGAAAGGGAGACAAAGAGCCACGTAAAGTTGAAGCTAATGCACATATTGCTGAAGCTTCAAGGCGTCATCCGAAAAARAATCAATCCAAGACAAAGAATGTGAATTTTGGGCCAAGGAATGACGCTAACAAGCGCATTCGTGCAATCTGYTGGGTTTRTGGCAAAAGTGGCCATATAGCTACAAATTGTAGACACAAGAAGGAACAAAGCTCCAACAACCAGGCCAACACTATTGAAGATGACAATTTAATTGCTGTCATCTCTGAGGTAAATATGRCATCTGACACCAAAGGCTGGTGGATTGATACTGGTGCTACTAGGCACGTCTGTGGGGACAAATCACTGTTCACCACTTATGAGAAGCTAGATGACAGTGATAAACTGTACATGGGAAATGCTTCAACAACTTCAGTGGAAGGCAGAGGAAAAGTCTTGCTGAAATAGACTTCTGTAAAGATACTTACCCTCACTGATGTGTGGCATGTGCCAGAGATTCGAAAGAATCTTGTGTCAGGAACTCTACGAAACAAAAATGGGTTTAAGCTTGTATTTGAGTCAGATAAATTTATTCTTACTAAGGGGGGTATGTATGTGGGAARGGGCTATCTGAATGATGACATGTTTAAATTGAATGTACAGGCACAAGTGCYCAAGAATAATAATAATAATAACAACTCTTCTGCTTATATTGTTGAGTTGTGTGATSTATGACATTCTAGGTTAAGGCATGTCAATTATCATTCTTTACAAAGAATGGTAAGTTTAGGACTGTTGCCTAACTTTAACATTGATAATAGACACAAATGTGAAGTTTGTGTTCAATCAAAGTTTTCTAGAAAGTCATTTTCATCTGTGGAAAAAAGTAATGAGTTACTTGATTTAATCCACAGTGATGTATGTGATTTGAAARGTACTCCCACAAGGGTTGGTAARAGATACTTTGTCACATTCATTGATGATTGTAGTAAATATTGTTATCTATATTTATTACATAGTAATAATGAGACCTTCGATGTTTTCAAAACATATAAGGCAGAAGTTGAAAATCAACTTGAGAGGAAAATAAAGGTGCTTAGATTAGATAGAGGTGGTGAATATGAATCATCATCACTTTCTGAATTTTGTGAAGTTAATGGTATAATTCATCAAACTACGGCACCTTATACACCACAACAAAATGGTGCAGCTGAAAGAAATAATCGAACTTTAAAAGACATGGTCAATTGCATGTTAAATAGTTCAGGTTTACCCTATAATTTGTGGGGGGAGGCTTTGCTTACAGCAAATTTTATCTTAAATAAAATTCCACATAAGAAGACTAATAAGTCGCCTTATAAAGTGTGGAAAAAGAAGTTACCCTTGTATAAAATACTGAAAGTGTGGGGGTGTTTGGCAAAGGTACAAGTTCCTTTACCAAAAAGGACAAAACTTGGACCTAAGACAGTTAATTGTGTCTTTATAGGCTATGCTATGCATAGTGCTGCTTATAGATTCTTGGTGATTAAATCAGAAATACATGATATTAATCATAATAATRTCATGGAATCTATTAAAGCTGAATTCTTTGAGGATATATTTCCTTTTAAAGAAGAAATACCGAAAGGTAATGGTAMCAAAAGGAATCATGAGGCTAGCTCTTTGAAAGGTCAAAACGATCAGGAAACTGAGATCGAACCTAGAAGAAGCAAAAGAGCTAAGAAAGTTACTTCCTTTGGACCTGATTTCATAACTTATATGATAGATGGGGAGCCTCAAAATTTTCAAGAAGCTGTGTCATCTCCAGATGCACCTTATTGGAGAGAATCTATCAATAGTGAGATAGAATCCATTTTGCAGAACAATACATGGGCATTGGTTGATTTACATCCTGGAAGTAAACCAATTGGAAGTAAATGGATTTTCAAAAGAAAGCTAAAAGCTGATGGCACTATTGATAAATATAAARCCCGTTTAGTAGCTAAAGGCTATTGTCAGAAAGAAGGGCTAGATTTCTTTGATACCTATTCTCCAGTGACGAGGATTACATCTATAAGGATGTTAATTGCGATAGCAACTTTACAAAATTTGGAAATACACCAAATGGATGTAAAAATTGCATTTTTAAATGGAGATTTAGATGAATAAATCTATATGGAACAACCTGAAGGGTTTATTGTAAAAGGACTTGAAAATAAGGTTTGTAAACTTGTCAAGTYTCTTTATGGGTTGAAACAAGCACCCAAACAATGGCATGAGGAGTTTGATCACACTATGTTATYTAGTGGATTTCAGATAAATGAGTGTGACAAATGTGTCTATGTTAAAACCATAGGTAAAAATTGTGTCATTGTTTGTTTATATGTGGATCATATGTTGATAATGGGCACAAGTAGAAGTCTCATTGATTCCACTAAAATAATGTTGAATTCTACCTTTGATATGAAAGACCTTGGTCTTGCTGATGTTATCCTTGGAATCAAAATAACAAGAAATCCAAATGGATATATACTTTCTCAATCTCATTACRTAGAGAAAGTGTTGATAAAATTTGGTCATTTTGAGAGTAAGCTAGTAGTTACTCCATTTGATTCAAATTRTAAGTTGAAGAAGAATAATGATGAAGGTGTATCTTCTCTAGAATACTCTAGAGTTGTGGTAGTTTAATGTACATAATGAATTGTACAAGACCTGATATTGCATATTCAGTAGGAAGATTGGCAAGATACACTAGCAATCCTAGGCATGATCATTGGAATGCATTAGTCAGAGTTTTAAAGTACTTGAAGTATACTTTAGACTATGGATTGCATTATACGAAATATCCATCTWTACTAGAAGAATTTAGTGATGCTAACTGGATCTCTGATAGCATGAAAACTAAGTCAATCAGTGGGTATATATTTACCTTAAGTGGAGCAGTTGTGTCATGGAAATCTTCAAAACAGACGTGTATAGCACGATCTATTATGGAATCAGAGTTTATAGCTCTTGATAAAGCTGGAGAAGAAGCATAATGACTTCGAAACTTTCTTGAAGATATTCCAATCTTGGCCGAAGCCTGTAAGTGTCATATGTATTTATTGTGACAGCTTAGCAGCCTCAATGAGAGCTAAGAATAATGTCTACAATGGGAAGTCACCACTAGTAGAAAGTTGGTCTTCCATGACAGTTGTGAACAGTAAAAAAGTTTGGATGAAAAAAAACTATCATAAATGATGGGGGCGCGTTTTTGGCGGGAAAAAACGCTATTTTTCRGATTTTGTAAGTTTTATGATARTTAAAAACTGTCCCGAAAATCGAAATTTCAATGACAGTGGAAAACTATCACGAATGGTGGAGGTGCGATTTTGGTGGGAAAAAATGGTAATTTACGAAAATTTTCAGACTTTTATGACATTTTATAATTGTCAATGAAAATAAAAAAAATTTYAAGTATTTCATGACAATTACCTAGATCATCTTGATAATGTATGACATACAAAAACAAATGATGTTGAGCGCGTTTCATTCYTGTCGGAAAAACTGCAGCTTTGTTAACGATATTAATTATTTTGGGATTGTTCGGTCGCATGGAGTATAGATTTATGCTTAATAGTTTCCCCAAATACTGCATGAAACAAGTAGAAGATGGTATTTGTTATAGTGGTATGCTTAGCGTAATYGTGCTCTTCCTCTYTTTGCTCCCGAGTTTAAGCCCTACGAATTTAAATTATTTTTTCAACCCTCTATTAATATATTTTTATAAAAAAATAATATAAGTTAATTCTAGTTTTACCAAGCATTCCGTAAATAAAATATTCACATTTAAATTATACTTTGATTTTTTTATATCGGAATGAAAGGTAATCAACTTAATCGAATTGTTAGGAATTAATTTGAGTTTAAATTGGAATTAGTTAGGTTCATGAAGCTTTAAATCTTTATAACATAAAATTTTGAAGTTTGGATAGAAATTTCCAAAATTAAATCTTAGTTTTGAGAATTTGTTTTTTTTTTATTAGATTCTTGTCTAAATTTTTAAGAATATTAATGGTAACTTTTTGAAAGAAAATAGAAACAAGTCAATAAAATGAAAAATAAAAACTT